CATCAGCCTCTCATAAGTGAATATTTAGGGCTTGTCTTCATTTTCTGCAATTATGTTTATTTATTTATTTATTTATTTATTTATTATTAATTATTTTTTGTGGAGCCAGGGATTGAACTCAGGCCCTTGCACTTGTCAGGGACGCACTTATTCCACTGAGCCATCTCCCCGGCCCCATTTTCTGCAATTATGAATAAGGCTACAACAAACATCTTGATGCTCAGTTGTAATGATCAGTAAAATCCAGAGACTGGGACTCATAATTGGATCTAGCTTTCAACTGCAGTCCCCAACTTGCAGCTTTTATGATTTCTGAAAGATTGCCATTCCTCTCTGAGCCCCAGTTTCTTCATTGGAGAAGTGGGGACAGTCACTCCCCCTTATTAAAGTTGTTTATATAATGCAAAGTGTGCTATACAACACACTTGGGCTTGGGAAAAATACTAATTTAATGAAAGGATGAATAAATAAATGACACTCCTTGTTTTTCCTCATCCCTACAGCGAATGTCAAACAACATGTTGTCCATATATCCCAACTCTTCTCACCTTGTGTCAGCTGCCCACAGTGAGGACCCCCCAAAGCATGCCATGAGTTTAAATGTTGTATCATGGCTGCCACAATTCTGAGATCACAGAGATCTGGTTAGTGTCCCGCAAACCTCCAGCAAGTCTTATAGGAAGGGAAGATTTTTTAAAATTGTGGAACTCTACATTAATTTCTGTGCCACCCTTGTACAGGGTCCATGCTCATCTTCTCTGTATCATTCCAATTTTAGTACAAGGGCTACTAAAACAAATACAGGAGAAAAAATTAACAGTGAGGATGAGATGATGGGTGAGTGAAGAGAAAGTGCAGGTGGGGTGGTAGTGATGGAAATGATGTTAGAACTGGACTTGGAGATATTAGTCACAGTGGGATGAGGCACGTGGTACCAAGAGACAGTGGTGATGGTGGGGACAAAGATGCAGGAGATGTGGATGGTAAGGCTGTGACTGGTGGTGGTAGTGTAGATGTAAAGAAGGAAGTAATATATGTTATTCAGGTGTGGTTTCTGAAAGTACATGGAGGTGGCCCTAAAGGTGGAGACGGCAGTGCAATCTTCACAGAGAATGGTCACCCTGGCAGAGAGGATGAGTCACTGTGGCAATCACAGGAAAGTGACAGAGATCATGAGGCCCACAGCATGGCAGGTACTTAAGAAGTTGGGTGAACAATCCAGGTTGCTGGCTGCAGTTCTAGACCACTAGGCATGGAACCCAAACCAAGCTGATCCCTTTTTTAGAGACCAAATTAAGAAGCATCTTAAGACAACACCTGCACGGTACTGGCCTTTAACAGAAACCTGGTTCTGTCAACATTCCTATACTGCAGTCCGCTCTGAAAAAAAAATAAAGGGTATCTGAATACCTCTATAGGAGTTGAGTTTTCCAAGGTAAAGTGCAGGATGCCTCTGTGGCTGAAGGTGAAAACTGTACTTATGTCTCCTGCCATAAGAGGTCAGCAAAGCTTTTCTTAAGAGTGACTTTTAGAGCCAGGGGTGGTGGTGCAAATCAGTAATCCCAGTACTGAAGAGTCTGAGATAGGAAGATCGTTTTGAGTTTGAGACCAGCCTGGGGTACAAAGGGAGTTCAAGGCCAGCCTGAAATGCACAGTGAGATCCTGTCTCAAAATGAAAAAAAAAAAAAAAAGAAAAAGAAAAAGAAAAAGAGAGGGAGAAAGAGAGAAGACACAGTACCTCTGTTCCCAAAGATAATCACTCAGTGACTACCACTACAAGTTTGAGGGGCCAGTGGGCAAGAAAAGGGCAAGGTGGAATGGGAAGATTTTTTCCCACTGCCAGAACCCTGCTGAACCTCTCCATGAAGCAAGGCAGGTTTAGGATCCCACTAAAGAAGCTACATACTCCGTTTAGAAGAGAAGCTGTGGCTTTTCTGAAGAATCGCAGGGCAGGTTTCTAGGTGATGACATTACAAGAAATGCTACTTGCATTTTTAGAGTTATAGACAACACACTGGAGAAGCAGTCAGGAGCCAAGGAAATTACAACTGCATGTGATTTTAAGTAAGTTGCTTTGCTCTGTAGTGTTCAAAGCACTTCAGTACCACGAAAATTAGTGCCATACACAAGCCTGGATTTCTTAGAGCAGATAATATATTTTTGCACTTTACTGAGAAGGGAACTAGACTTCAGAAGCATGTCCTGCCGGCATCTTCGTGGCTTGCACTGCAGGCACAGTTGTAGTGGCTTGATAATACAGTGTGGCTTGGCTTTCTTTTCTCTCTGTTCCACTTCCACCTTTCTTAAAAAATAAAAAATAAAAAATAAAAAACTTCTGGCCTTCTGCTTCCTAAAAATCCCAAATGAACACAGACCTGAGATTTAGATCTTGCAAACTGGCTGAAAATTATGACCCTTAAACTTGTATTTATAGTCATCCATCCTCAAAGACAAAGGTTTGGGGTCTGTCACATAGGCCTGTGTTCTGCATCTTACTGGCTGCCATGGGTTGAATTTTGACCCCTCTTAAAGAGTTCAGACTTTCAGCACCCTTGAAAGTGGCCTTATTTGTAGATGGGCTTCTTGACAGAGGAATCAAGTTAGGGTGAAGTAATTAGGATGAGCCCTATACCAAAATAATAGATTCTATTTATTTATTTATTTATTTATTTATTTATTTATTTATTTTTGGCGGAATCGAGGATTGAACTCAGGCCCTTGTGCTTGCCAGGGGAGCGCTTATTCTACTGAGCTAGCTCTCCAGCCTCAGCTAGCTCCCCAGTCCTGTTAGATTCTTTTTTAAGGGAGGAAGATGTCAGGGACAAGAAAATAAAGTAATGACAGAAATAAGTCAACACCTTTCATTGCTAATTGGCTTCAATTCCCCAGTCAAAAGACACAGACTAGCAGATTGGATTTTGAAAAGCAATGCTATTTTGAGAACATAGGTGGACTCTGGGAATCCCACAGGATTCTGGTGAACTGTGACCTGTGTGTCCCAGCACACACAGGCACAGAGCTTTCACTGGTATCCAGTCCCACTATTTGAGAATTTAGGTGGACTCTGGGCAGCCCACAGAATTTTGGTCAGCTGTGACTCATGGATCCCAGTGTGTACAGGCACAGAGTTTTGAGGTAGTGCCTGGTGCCACCACTGGAGAATGTAAGCAGACTCTGGGAAGCCCAAAGGACTCTGGTGAGCTGTGACCTGTGGGCCCCAGGTCACAAGAAGATATAAAAATTCTGAATTACCTAATACCAGTCAATGAAATTGAAAGAAATAAAAACCCTAGCAGCAAAAAAAGCCCCAGGTCCGGATGGATTTGCAGCTGAATGCTACAAGAAAGTTAGACAAGATCTAATGCCAAATCTCAAACTTTTCTGAGAAAGTGAAAGGGAAGCAATTTTCCTAAACTCATTCCTTGTGAGAAGTATGATTTTTATACTAAAACCAGATAAAGATCCAACTAAAAAGGAGAAGTACAGGCTAATCTCCCTAATTAACATAGATGTAAAAATCCTCAATAAAATACTAGCAAACAGAATTCAGCAAATGACCAAGAAGATTATACATCATTACCAAGTAGGATTCACTCCAGGAATGCAGGGATGGTACAAAATATGTAAATCTATATATGTAATACATTACATCAATAGAGCCAAAGGTAACAACCATGTGATAATAGATGTATAAAAAACTTTGATAAAGTCCAATATTTATTCATGATAAAAAACCCTACAGAAAATTAATGTACATTATCTATATCTTAACATGATAAAAACCATCTATGACAAACAGGCATCCAACATCATATTAAATAGACAGAAACTGAAAGCATTCATTTTAAAGTCAGGAACAAGACAAGGGTATCACTGTCTTCACTCCTATTCATTATAGTTCTGGAAATACTGACCAGAACAATTAGACAAGAGAGAAGATAAAGGGAATAAAGATTGCAAAATAAGAAAAAATTATTATTTGCAGAAGACATGATAGTGTACATAGAATACTAGAAAAACTTACTGAGAGACGTGTAGGCTTAACCAAATTCCATAATGTAGTGGCATACAAAATCGACACAAAAACCAATAGCATTTTTGTACAAAAACATAATGTACTGAGAGAGAAATTATAGAAACCACATCTTTCCCAGTAACTTTCAAAAAATGAAATGCTTAAAAATCTTACAAATGAAGTAAAAGATTTATACACTGAAAATTACAGTATTCTGAGAAAAGAGATTGAAGATTTCAGAAGATGGAAATATATTTCTTGCCCCTGGATAGGAAGAATCAACATTGTGGCAATGACCATACTCCCAAAATTGTTATACAGATTCAACGCAATACTGATTAAAATATCATTGGTATGCCTCACAGAGCTGCAGAAAACATTCCTAAAATTCATCTGGAACCAGAAAGGGCCCAGAATATTAAAAGCATTGCAGGGAAACAAAGGAAAGGCAGGAAATATCACAATCCCTAATCTGAAATTATATTACAAAGCTATCATGATACAATCAGTCTGGCATAAAGACAGACCTGAGGATCTATGGAACAGATTCTAAGATGCAGACACAACTACAAACACACTCAGCCATCTTATATCTGTCAAAGTTGCTAAAGATGTTCACTGAAAGAAAGATAAGCTCTTTAATAAATGGTGCTGGAAAAACTGGCTTTCCACATGCTGAAGGCTTAAAATAGACACATGTCTATCATCACGCACTAAACTACACCCAAAATGAATCAAATATTTAAACATTAAAAAAGAAAAATTAAATCTCCTGGTGGAAAATGTAGGTAGAAATCTGAAAGACAGGGATAGGTAGGGAGTTCATCAATAAAAACCAAATTGCATGGGAAATACTTCAAAGAATCATCAAATGGGATTTCAACTTTTGGAAAATTTTCTGCACTTGAAAAGAAATTACCATCAGAGTAAAAAGAAAACCCACAAATAGGGGAAAAATAGTCAATTGTCCCTCTGACAAAGGCCTTCTGTCTAAAACATTTAAAGAATTAAAAATCAGGGCTCTAAAATTCAAAGAGTCAATCCAGAATTGGCCATCTGACATGAATACACACTTCTCAGTTGAAGAAATACAAATGGCAAATAAACATGAAAAAATGTTCAACATCATTGGTGATTCAAGACATGCAAATTAAAACATCACTTATATTCCATCTTACCCCAGAAAGAATGGATATCATCAAGTCAGCCAATAGCAAATTCTGGAGGAGTTGTTTGGACAAAGGAACCCTTCTCCACTGTTAGTGGGAGTGCAGACTGGTGTAACCATATGGAAATCAGTGCAGAGATTCCTCAACAACTAAGACTGAGTGTCCAATTCAACCCAGCTATTCCCCTCCTGTGTATATTTCCAGAAGAACTGAAAACATACTACAGTGATGTATGTTCACTTTTGTTTATAGCCACACGTGTCATAACTAAATCTAGGAAGCAACCCAAATGTCCATTAATTGAGGAATGGGTAAAGCATATGTGATAGAGAACAGGTGTTGTGTGCATGCCCATATTCTCTGCCGTGGGGAGATTGAAAACAGGAGGATCACTATGAGTCCGAGCTGCATAGTGAGATCCTGAACCAAATACATAAAAAAGAATATATAGTATTTTTACACAATGGAGTATTTTTCAGCTATAAAAGGGATAAATTTGAAGCTTTAATTGGCAAATGGATGCAACTAGAGACTGTATTGGTAAGTGAAATAGATCAGACCCACATGTGCAAACATCATATTGTCTCCTTAGTGTGAGATCATGAAAAGAAAATAAAA